AAACACTATGATTTACCAGAATCACACACTAAGTAAATTGCATGAGGGCGCTATTGCACCCAGTATTGGAATTTGTTCTTTCAAAAATATAAAGAATGTACATTGGCTTACATCACTAAATTATTATTATTATTATTAAAGATTTTATTGCAGGATATAAAGTGGAAAAGTTCGTACATCCCATATTAAAAACAAAAAACAATATATATAAACAAACAGAGAGAAAAATATATATATAAAAAAGACGTGACTTATAAATAAATTCATTGTTCTAGCGTAGCCGTGGCGTATACATAAGTTTAAAGCACAGAACATAAAACTTCGAACATAAATTTCATGATAAAAGCACTGCAACGATTCTATGGTCACTTTTAGTTAGACGCCTATAGAGTGAAAAAAAGCATGTTTCGTCTAAAAGCATCAAATGTAGGAATGTTTGAGGACACAAACATATTGCTAGCACTACAGTCTCTGGGTCGACCCAGGAATAAACGAAATGCATTATTAAACACAACACGGAGATCACAAATACTTTTACGACTATGTTGAAACAAAAGCTGTGAACAATACATCTTACAACAAAAGGTTGGTACATTTTTTCTTGGTAACATATGGTGAAAAAAAATATATATATAGTTCCTGACACGTTTTTTTTGATGTCTTAGAAAATTGACTGTATTCTAATGGGTTCATAAAAAAGAGATGTAGTCATTGTAGTCTATGGAGACTGCTTCTAAACTACCACTGTATGCATTTTATTTTACCGTCCCCTTTAAACAGATTTACAGCGAATCAAAAAAATATACATACTATCCTCGGGGGGGGGGAGCTACGTCACAAGACGTTCCACGTTGCTACGATGCGCATGACTATGGAAAGCCATGACTGTCTTAAGTTCACTTATATCATGTTATGGGGTCCATTTATTATGTTTTGGTGTACATTATTCATGACATCGTGTGCATTCATCATGTTATGGAGTGCATTCATCATGTTATGGTGTTCATTTATCATGTTATGGTGTGCATTCGTCATGTTATGGTGTTCATTTATCATGTTATTGTGTGCAACCATCATGTTATGGTGTGCA